ATATTGATGGATGATTTAAATAAATCTGTCTAGACTTTAACACACTAAAGCATCTTAAACATAAATAATTGTAAATTATAGATAACATATATATATATATATATATATATATATATATATATATATATAGATAAGAGATCAAATGCAAACCTATCTTAATATGCTAACCTACAAACTTAATCCTAGCCCTCTATTTTAGTTGATCACCCGTGTCTTTCATCTCAATTAGATTAGTTAGTTGAGGGCTTATTAGTCTTTAACGTTTATTTTATATTTGGAAATTAAATCACGTTTACTCACATCTTTGACGATCGACGATCTTCTCTCCAGATCAAAGCTTCACCATCTCCATCTACCTTTCTGTATATGCCTCCATCTCCATCTCCGGTTGCGTCTCCATCTCTATCGATCTCCATCCCCATCTTATTTTTTCTTTTTCTCCATCTCTATCTCAGATTCAATAGAATGTGGTTGATGTTCTTCTATTAGAGGTCATGAATTCTGGCATGTATAGGGAGAACATTAGTTCTCAAAGGACATGGATTCCGACATCTCCATTGAATTTGTGTGCACATCGTTTTTTTTTTGGTTTTGTGGTTTTCATATCAATTCAACAATTTGAAAATCCATGGATTCCGATGAAGTTCTTGAATTTCGTATGCATTCTGGTGTGGAAATATCATCAAAATATATTTTGAAAAGATATTTTTTAATTTATTTATGTAATTTTCATACCAATTTAACAATTATGTGTTTGCAAACTTCTTGTAATTTCAGTATGAATTCTTTTTTTCCCCTTTTAGAACGTGGTTCCATACTCATATATTATGTCATTTGAATATGAAATGCAGATATCATAATGATAAGATGCACGATATGAACTTTTAAAATGCATATGCCATCTAATTAAAATGCACTGCATGAACTTATAAGATGCACATGCCATCTTATTAATGTGCACTTATAATCTTACTAAAGTGCAATATAAGAACTTGTACGATGCACATGTCATAATGTTAAGATGCAGTGTGAAATATTAATGTGCACATATCAACTTCATAATGATAAAATGCAAATTCGTATAATCTGACATGTTTCTTTTATATTATGCACTTGTACTAATTTACCGTCTAAAACATGTTTCTCTTATATTATGCATAATGTGACATCATGAATTTTGTATGCATATCAATTGAGTATACAATGCAAATTTCATAATGATAAGATGCATCAATTTGTGTTCTATGATGCAAATGAAATCTTATTACTATAATGCAATACATGAACGTGTAAAATGCGCGTGTCATAATGATAAAATACATGCGCCATATAAACTATTAAAATGCAGATATCATAACGGAAAGATGCAGTATGAACTTCCAAAGTGCACATATCATCATACTAAAATGTAATATATGAATTCCTAAAATGCACTTTTTATAGTGATAAGATGCAACGTGACACCAATATATTTTATCACTGTGTAGTTCTAATATAAGTTATGGAGACATTACAAATATGAAATGCACGTCAACTTAACATGCACATCTGTTAACCTTAATATGCATATCTCGTAATTTTAATATGCATATCATGTGACCATAATATGCAAAAACTTATACCACTGCTGACTTTTTCATTCAAGAGCTCTCCAACTTACCATCTATAAGTTTCGAAAATTTGAAGGTTAATTATGGAGCGTCTTAATCCATAAATTAAGATATTAGTTTTATAAATGCTATCATATGTTCTTGTAATGAAACCATTATTTGAATTGATAATGCAACTTTCTTTGTTGGACAAAATCTCACCTTAATTTGTATATAGAGATTCAACTTCCTCCTCTAATGCTTATTAATTACACGAACTTTTTTTTAATTTGTTAAAAATGGAGGTGTAAATATTAGTAGTGGGTTACCTTAATTGATTGGATTTTAGTGGTGGGTACGTGGGTTACATTAATGAGTGGTAGAATATTGATGGTGAGATGTTTCCGTATTGTTTCCATATTAGTGGCAGCTCCGTTTTTAAAATGTCAAATGACATACGTAACCTTACCCACTAACCGTGCAATTTAATAGCCCAAAATATTTACATTCTCTGCATCTCACCACACGCTCCATTAGTGTGGATGACGTTCATCAGCCGTCCGTGTTTCAAATCCAAGGGATTGTATTGGTTTGTAGTTTGCACCGGAAGCATGGTTTGCATGAGATCTTCCCCCTATATATATATATATATATATATATATATATATATATATATATATATATATATATATATATATATATATATATATATATATAGAGTGCTCTTCATGTCAGGCCGGCCTGACGGGCTTCCCCGTCCGGCCGAGCCCGTTTGGGAACCTTCCCGGTGGAATTTTTTGATGAAATTTTTTGAGCATGTTCCTCGTCAAGTCTAGTTTGTCCATACCAAATTTCAGCTCAAAATTCAATCGGGAAGGTCGTCAAATGATTTTTGCAAGTTAACTGGTCTGGAAAATACATATTCCGGACCAGTTAACTTGCAAAAATCATTTGACGACCTTCCCGATCGAATTTTGAGCTGAAATTTGGTATGGACAAACTAGACTTGATGAGGAACATGCTCAAAAAATTTCATCAAAAAATTCCACCGGGAAGGTGCCCAAACGGGCTCGGCCGGACGGAGCAGCCCGTCAGGCCGGCCTGACATGAACATTCCTCTATATATATATATATATATATATATATATATATATATATATATATATGATCAGGTCAAAAGGTTTTTGCCTAATTAAAAACATTTTACATTTTGGGACCTTGCAGTAACTCTCAACTTCTAACAACAAAATTCTCAACTTTTGGGTCATATTACTCAATTTCTTTCTCTCAATTATTTCTCTATTTCTTTACTCTGTCTCTATCCTATAAATAAAAAATCACGCCTCACATTTCTTTTTTTTCTTACCTTACCACAATCTCATAGCATCTCTAGTGAAATGGTATTCTCTTACACACCTTCAATTTACACATGAGTCATTTTTATCTTACAATTTCTTGATGTATTTTAATTTCATTTTTATGTTACTTTTAACTTACTCTTGGCATATTTTGCTCTCTTCCAGCCACTTGGGTAGAATGCAAAAATAGGTTAATATAGGCGTCACGTCTGTCACCTCAAAAATAGTTATAGTTGCTGGTGAAGTTCACGTTCCTCTATTGTTTGTCCAAACATAACCTTGTATGATTATCATTATGACTATGAGAATGAAATGAATGTATTTATTTGATCTTCACAGGTTGCATAGAGACGTTTTGTCTCCCGCCTTTAAATAAATGAACCCCCACCCTTTTTGTTTTAATGCATCCATTTTCTGATTACTTTTTCATTTTTAAAGACGATTAAAGTCTAGTAATATAGTACGAATTAATTGAGAGGACAATACATATTTTAAAGATATTTGGTTCCACTGAGTTTAAGAGAATTTCTAGACGTCTTCTAAAAGATTTTAAAGGTAATTAATATGACAAGTATGAGTGATTTCAGGGACCTTTTAGAGTTAGACTTAGATAATGTAAATTAAACATAAAGCTAGTATCTATCATATCAGAATTTTTTTGTTCAATTAAAACATCCAAATTTACAAGTATATTATTTGAATTATGACATATCTTACTATCTTATTAGTTTATCAATTTGTCATATGCTCATATCTTTTTATGGTTATAAAAATTAACTTGTGGTTGAGTCCGTTTTTAGATAAGGGCTTTTGTTTCATTTCTTAACATAGTAGTCAATGTGCTTTAATTCCGTTTATCACTGAAGGGGTCCAGTGTCTACCGTTAGAAATTGCCAGAGGAAGACGCGATAATACCCTATTTTCAAAAGTGCCAAGAAAATCAAAAGAAAAATATCAGGAAGTGCGGCTCATTAAGACGACCTCCAAATCATCTTTGTTTTCGGACGGGCTTTTCAGCGACAAGAGTGGCTAGAAATAAAGCGTAAAGATGGTTTGGAGGTCACATTAAAGAGGTGCACCTCCTAGTATTTTTCTTTCAATTTTTCGGACACTTTTAAAAATCGGAGTTACTGTTCATCGTCTTAACTACGTTAGGCATCAAACCCCTCTAGTGATAACAAAATTAAAAACATGGACTACTTTGTTAAGATAGTCTTTTTCGGTACTGAAAACATAGTGAAAACAAGTCCAACAACTTCTACCTTTTCTGTACTTTTCCCTATAATTTATACAAAAGAAGGTTTACCTTAGCTTGTTCAAACTATACTCTCTTTGGTAGGGACGAACTTATCCTTGGGCTGTTGATGGACAAATCAACTCTTATTACACTCCTATCATTAATGGATATATAAACCCATAAATAAAAGCATACCGTCATGAGAGTTATGTGAAGTGGTTCTTGCCTGGAATGGAATGAATGTATTCGATCTTCACATGTTGCACAGAAAAGTGTAGTCTCCAACCTCTAAATAAATGAATCCACGCCCTTTTTATTTTTATTAAAATAAAATCATATATGTTGGAATTTCTTTTTTCAAAATGTAAGTTTTGTTTCTTGGCGTGATTTAATAGATTATAGAAATAATACTATTAGATGGATCAATCACTAAATGTCCATATAATAACACAATGTATCATAATTGACTGAGTAGTGATTATACTAGACTTAAATATACTCAAAGAAAAAAATAGAGAGCACGGGACTTCCATAGGCATACTTGGATCCGCCTTGAAATGGATGATTTAATCAAATGCATTATCATTCCTATCAGTATTATTGATCTCGTTGTTATAAAATTTACATTTAAAACATATACCTTAGTTGTGTTAACTAAAAAAAGGTGTAGCATATAGCTTGTTCAAACTAAACTCTTTTTCTGATAGTAGTATTATTGGTAGGGACGGATTTATTCTTGGGCGGTTGATGGACAAATGAATTCTTCTTACTCTCCTACTATAAATAAACTGCCCATAAATAAAAGCATACTCCCCTGAGACTAATGTGAAGTGTTTCTTCTTGCCTGGAATGGTGAAATTTGAGGGCTTGTTGATGCAGCAGGTGAGTGAGGAGGAGCTTAACAGAAAGGGTAAAAGTCTTGAAGATGAAGAGGTTGAGGAACTAAGACATGAGTTAGACGCACAGATACAGGTGAGAACTGCCCTTCAGGCTGCCCTGAAAGCCCCGGTCAGCTCTCGTCCCAAACTCTCTTCCCTCCCTCCCATGGTATGATGATGTTCTTCTCTACTATCTACTCAACATTAAAATTTTCCAGTTTTGATCTCATTATCTCACCTGTAGCAGTTTGTCACTTTCAATTTTGATCATTGAGTTAAAAATTGCACCCTTTGGTACACGATTATATTTTTTTGTCACTTCTGGTCACTTATTCAATGAAAATCAAGTAGATTGAATTAGTCATCATTAGATGAAGTTCACAAGGAATCCAAAAGGTGCACCAATAGTGAGAAAAAATAACTCAGGACTAAAACCAGTCACATTTACTAGGTTATTTCAACTTTTGGTTCCTAAGTTTAAACTTATCTACTTTGATGTAGAATTATGAATTACTTGCCAGTTCTGTTCATCAACGAACACTTAGCCGATGATAATCAACAAGAAATCATGTAGAAATGGCCAAATAAGTAACACAAGGCCTAAATGGAACAAAAATGACAGTCTTGCACTAAAAGAGAGACAAAAACAAGTAATGAACCAAGATGTTTATAACTTATGATACCAAAAGTAGAAACTTTTCTCTTCAGAGATTTGTTTTATTTTATCTTTGCTTGTGGGAATTGACGAACGAAACAAATGTAGGTCCAACAACTCATTGAAGAGGTCATGTACATTGAGGAAGAGATCTTCTGGCTGGAGAGAAAGGTGAAAAACTTGAAACTTAGTTTGTTACGCGAGAAGGCACTGACGAAATGCCAGGAAAAACGTTATCACCGAAGGATGTTAATTCCCAGACCCACAGATTCATACCCTCCTCAGTCTCGTGAAGGAAGTGTAAAGTGCAAAACTAGAAGAAATGGGAGAGCTTCCATCTGTTCACCGGTGGATCTCAGAAGCACTTGTTCTACAATGTCTAACAATGGTATATTTGAGTATTTGACACAATGCAGTATCATTTCACATCCCCCTTTGTGCCTAAATTATTCCCATTGCAACTTTTCATGATCTTTATTATCCAAGTAATGCGTATAATCAGCTACTTAAATAGTATAGACCAACACAATATATGACTGAAAAAGTTCTTATATATTTTTAAAAGGATATTGTTTATTTCTTTCTATACATATTACAATCACATAATTTTAATTCTTAATTGAGTTAAAAATAAACTGACGATAAATTTCTTGGGCAATGGTAACATAACACTCAAGTCTAAGGGGGTGTCCGGCCTTAGGCTATTCTTCAAGGCTTTTCTTTCTTGGAGAGCCAAACGGCAGAAGCGAATAAGCGATAGAAATAGAGAAGAGCCCTAGAGTCACTGTTCTCAACAAAAAATGATTACAAAAGAAAACAAGAATCCATAAGCTATAAAAGTAAATATTACAAATATTGTTAATACTACTCCGTATATAGTTACTAGAAGGATGGTGTACAAGTTATTTATTGTAATAATCTCAATAACAGAGGCTCATGCCTAGGGAGTAAAAACAAAGGAACGGCTCGGTAATATAATTTAGGGGTTTTTAGGGGAATTTTGAGTTTGCACCCCACTTTTTGGGTGATATTGGACTTTGCACCCCATTTTTAAAACTCTTGGACTTTGCACCCTATCTACAACATTTTGTGAAGAAGGATTGTTGGATGGGGTGCAAAGGCAAATGCATTTTAGAAGAAATAGGGTGCAGAGTCTAAGAGTTTTGAAAATGGGGTGCAAAGTCAAATATCACCCAAAAAGCGGGGTGCAAACTCAAAATATCCCTATAATTTAATTATAATTAATGTTCCATGATTGGCATGTGAGCTTAGCAATACAGTTCAAGTCATCTCACGCATATGACAACAGCAAATATCTCAACTCATTGACATCTTTAGTCTTTTCCATTCACATGGAATTAATCAATGATGATGACACTTTTAGTCTTTTCATATCATTGTTCTTTCTTAAGAAGGTTTCTGTTTGAAGGGCGTATGACGTAAAATATTTTAGAGATGGGTGTCTAGTGTAATGTAGTACTAGTACTACGTATATTTGAGTATAATGTTTGGAGCAAGTGAGTTTACTTCCAAACAGATAACCTGGGTGACCTAGGTTATGCCCTTCCATAATACCACAAACCATATGAGAGCTTTGGCATTACGCTCACACTTGATTAAAACTAGGTTCTGATTTACTGTTCTAATTGATGATGTGGGAATAGGAGATGTTGGGGAGAGCTCAAGGAGTTCAAGAAACAGGAGATCCCATACTCAACCGGACCTAAAGAACAGTTCCGAGAAACCTAATAAGCTTTCGGAAGAACTGATAAGATGTCTAGTAAATATCTTACTCAAACTAAACAAGGCATCACTCGAGAGTCGAGGGTCAGCTGTTTTTCAAAAGCATCAGCAGCCGCTTTCCAACAAGAAATCCAAAAGATTCATGTCAAGAACCTCATTGAGTTGTACAACATTATGCACCTTTTCCTTCAACGACTATGCTTCAAACCTCGACCCTTACGGGATTTTGCAAGATTCTGATGGCAGTATCACACAGATTGGGTCATACAAGAATTTCATTGAAGTCTCACGAAGCTCACTCGATACCAAGCATATTTCTGAGTGTCTTCCAGAGATGGGAAAATTACGGTTATGTAAATTTATTTTCATTTCTACTTACTTTAGGATGACTTACTTTTAAAGAACAAGTGCTTTTCATGGGAAGAAAAGTGCTTCTACTTTAAAATAAGCGTTTGAAAAGGAAATTTGAGACGTGATTTTAATTGTTTTTTTACTGGACGTGATTTTAATTGCTAATATCGCTTTTGTGCTTATTTTAGAGTACTTTAAGTGTTTAAATGAACAAACACTTCTTATATAAGCATCACAAGTCATCCCCAAACAGGCTCAAAGAGTGAATCTGGGGTGTGCCTTACTCTCAAAAGAATAAATACATTTCATAGAAAGAAAAGTACTTTTGCTTTGGGGAGTAGTGAGGAAATAAAAACTGTGTTTTTATATATTTGAACAAGAAAAAAAAGACGTGTGCTTTTATGAGAAATACGGAGTAGCTTAAAATAAGAGCACTTGTAGCACAAATCATTATTTTCATAGAATAAGTGCTTGTTAGAGCCTTGGAGAAAGAAAGTACTTTTATTTAAAAAGAAGAATCTGGCAGGCTTTTCCACTAAAAGGGGCACTTTTTAGGCTTATTCGAGTATCACCGGAATCAAGTTGTAAAGATACTACATTTTTTTCCTTTCCAGGATTTTGCTTCAGAAACTCAAACATGCAGATTTGTCTTACTTGACAAACAAGCAGAAGTTAGCATTCTGGATTAACATCTACAATGCCTGCATAATGCATGTACTGTAAGATATAAATCAATACTTCCACAGAAACCAAAGATGCATAAAGAGAGAATAACAAATGCAATCTTTCTTCTATTCAGGTGTTTCTGCAGCACGGTTTACCTTTATCAGGGGAAGATCAAGTGGCACTTATGAACAAGGTATGTAGGGGTGGATTCGGGTCAGGCCACCCGGCCCGCTACTGTGCGGGACCGGGACCGGCCCTGTTCTCGGGTCCGGATCCGGGTCGGGCCTAGGCCCATGGGGGAGGGCGGGTCCGGGCTCGGGTCGTGGTTTTGGCGAACCGGCCCGGCCAGTTCGGGCCGGGTACCGGGCCTATTTTAATTTTTAAATTTTTTTTCAATTTTTTTTACTTTTCGGGTTGGGCTGGGTATTTTGGGCCATTTGAGGTGATTTGGGGGTGGGGGGGGGGGGGGTGGGGGGTTAACTAAGAAAAGGAAAAAAAATAGAAATTACCCGAGGCCCGGCCCGACCCGGAGATTACCCGGGCCGGTCCTGGGCCCCCCATTCCTAAACCGCCGGCCCGACCGGGCCTAGGCCCGGGCCCGAACCGGCCCGGCTCCACCCCTAAAGGTATGGAGCTTTCTATTTCACCCTCTTGTTCAGCCAAGTTATGGCATTTAAATCAAAAGAAGGTATAATGTACTGTTAAATGTATTTGTAAATGTCTTTAAACCATAGATGCATTAAATCATAATGCTCAGAACTCATAATGGTTCTTTCCTTTTCATTTTTTCTGGCAAAGGCTGCAATAAATGTTGGTGGAATTATATTAAATGCATTGGCCATTGAGCATTTCATCCTTAGGCATCCATCTGACAGCGAATATGTGAGTAAACCAGTTTCCCAAAGGAACCTATAGTTCTTAGCTTTATGAACATGATTGACAGCATTAACTTTGATTCACAAGGACCTGAGAGATGAGAAGGGAATCATGCTGAGGACTGCATATGGCCTGGGTTACCCAGAACCAAACATCACTTTTGCACTTTGCCGGGGCAGCTGGTCATCACCAGCAGTAAGTACTTGTTTTGCACAAGAATTGCTCCCTTTGGTCCTTAATATAAGTCACTTTTGATAAATTACACAAACTAACTTAACGACTCCAATGTGCACCATACTACCCTCATTAATGAACAACACGAGCAAACAAATATGCAGTTTTCAATAAGATCAAATGGTGAAAATTACTTGCTCCCTGTTTTCAATTATTTATCAGTACCTGTAAATAAAAACTCTTTATCAATACCTTCTAAATTACGGAGAATGACTTATATCAAGGACTAGAGAGCGTATTCAGAAGGTTAACTAAGATGTACGAGATTCCATAGAATGAACATTTACACGTTTGGGGGTTCCAGTTGAGGATTTATACGCATGACGTTGTGAATGAATTGGAGAGAGCAAAAGTTGAGTATTTGGAGGCTTCAGTTGGAGTTTCAAGCAGCAAGAAGAAGATAATGGTTCCCAAGCTGATGCGGTGGCATATGAGAGATTTTGCAGATGACATGGAGTCACTAATAGAATGGATTTACAGCCAATTACCACATTCTTGCACACTGAAAGGATTAATAATGGAGTGTCTAGAAGGGGGGAAGAAAACACCGTTGGCTAAAATGATTGAAATCCAACCCTATGCTTCTGAGTTTCGATATCTCTTGCTTTTATAGATACAGCAAGAAAGCATCATTACAATAGAGCAGATAATTGTCTCCGTAAATAGAAACTACTCCCTCTGTCCCCCAAAAAATAGTTCTGCTTGTAATACAAACAACTCTTGTCTAAAATGGATGCAGTTACAGAAAGAAACCATTTGTAAGCCAAAATAGACTGAGATGTGAGTAAACACTAAATGCCACTAGAACTGGTGATGACCTTAAAAATAGACTGAGATGTGAGTAAACTAAATTATCAGATGGACATCCACAAATGGCAATAACAGTGTTCATTTTTCAAAACTTGTTTATATTTTTTCTATTATTATTTGTCCATCACAAAAGGTTGCAACTTATAAAAAATAAAGATAAAAGCTCAACAATATTATATTAAGATGCTCACAATAATGAAATATCACTTTTTACAACAAAAAATGGCAAAACAAAATGAGCTCACAACAATGATTTTGCTTGTCCTTAGCCATCCAAAGCAGATGTACTGAACAGTGACAAGCCTATATATGATAGTACATGCTTGACTTATATCTGTAAAGAGTTCTCAAGACACATTAGAACTAGGTTTCAACATCTGGTGGGTTCAGCCAAAAAACTCACAACCCTATTCAACAAATTCAGGCCAAAGACTGTTTCCTCACAATTGACTTTTAACGATGCTGTCAGTGGTTCATGACATTTACCTTCATCGATGGTAATAGTAAGTAAGCACGGGAATGAGTTGCTTAGTATCTCACCACTGAATCGTAACCTTAACCCTGTTACATCATCAAGGTTGGTCCCAACAGGCATATCCACGGATACAAGAAAAAGGCTTGTATTACTAAGGACCTTCAATACCAAAGCCTCACATATTACAACAAAGCTGTCTTTTGTGGCTGGGCCCGCAACTACTTTAAGTTCTTCCATGTGATCAGTGAATGAACATCTGTTTAAAAGATGGGAGTTAATATATCTCCTAGCGTAAAGGAGGAAAATACTCCCTTTCTATTAAAAAGGTTTAACATTCCTTTAAAGAAAGTCTTCAAATATTCATTCCACCATCCCTTTTAAAAAAAGGAGCTTATCAAATGACTTAAACACTCTTATTTTTTCAAAGTCCTCCAAATTTTTATCATTTCTCTCCCCTGTTTTTTTAAATTTTAATACGCTATACAATACCCGTCACTTTTACTCTTAATAAACGTGTCAATGCCTAGTGGAACAACTATTCCAATACGGAGAGATGATTTTAAATTTAGTTTTAAAAGTAAATAAATTCAAAGAGTCTATGAAGGATTTAGTTTCCGAGCATTGTACCATAACATTACTACAAAGGTGTACCACGTACATGATGAAACATGACAGTTTTTGGAAAGGAGAGACTAAAAAAATTAATAGTTCTCAAAAGAAAGATTAGAATTTCCATAACATAGTAACTATTAACTAACCTCCTTACATACTCAAACATCCCAGGCAGCTGAGACTCCTTACTCAAGAATATTTCAGTGTCTATTGGAAGAGGTCTTACAAAATATCCAATGTCAGGTCTCAACTTCACAGTATGCTTCTTGCCATCACACCATAAAGTGAACTTAAGAGGCAATAGATGATGGTGAAAGTGAACCTCGAGGGTTCTTTTTGAGGTCTGACCAGGCTCTAGGAGAGCAATCACTTCCATAGGGACAGCAAATGACACCTTAGTATGGTCGAAGGAGCTGCTCATCAAAATGAATCAGACAGACAGAGCTAACAGAGTTTGTAGATTCAATGAGTAACATAAATCATAAAGATTGTGTGTTTTATGGTCCATTTGGATAGAAGGATTTAGAGGTGATGACTTTGGATGACTTGTCTATGTCTTGACTCTTGATAAATTAAATAAAAGGTGATGGAAATGGTATCCAATCACATACGATGTTAAATTTTCAATTCTTATAAAATCTCAAGTATTTATATTAGTATATAGCAAGATATAGATTAAGCTCTCCTGCCCCTCACAAGTCTTCCCCTAAAAACCCTCCATCCAAACAGACCCTTGGAAAACTGATTAATGAAGGAAAGTAATGCTAATGAAAAGAGACATGCTGTCAGAGTAAATCTCATTACCTAGATGCCGCTGTTTGATCTGTAGGTTCTGTACTTCTGTTAGACCCTTCTTCAACCAACAACAAATTTGACATAGGCTCTGTTGAACAGTTTTTGAAGCAAAGCTCAACGCAGACAAGTACTTGAGGTTTGCTTGAAATCTCCGTTGAGAACATATAATCAACACTCAACCCACTTCCATTAGCAGGATCTAGCAAGGTATAAGATTTAGGCTTGACTCTGCTACCTATATCTCCCATTGAAATTCTTGCAAATGATCGACGGACATAGCTTATGTCAGATGAATCGTGGACAGATGCAGGATTATCATTCAACCATGACTCTAGAGATCTATTAGACAGCAGCTCACTAACTTCATTGGAATTAGAACAATCAGCACTCTTTCTTGATCTGCCTATTTCATTTCTATGGTCATTGCCAAGATCTGAAAGGAGAATCAACGGGTTGGGATTTTCATCATGATCACTCAATGGATTTGCCCCACTGGTACTAGTTGGAAAATCCTGAGAACTATAACCTGATAAACTTTCATCATCTAATGATTCAGAATCGGAGTTAGGATCATCTTCTTCATATGAATCCCTCTGGGTATCATGCGATGAATTACCGCTGGTATCAGTGTAAATTAAACTCTGGGGCTGTGGAAGAGGTTCATATCCAGGAGCTGCATGAAGAACCATATGTGAGAGAGATCCAGGTAGATAAAACTGATAACTTAAGGGCTCTCCAGGTGCTGATTTTGTCTGACCCACAAATAAGCGTTCAGCAAGCAAATGCAGTGGGCTTGCAGTTCCTGGTTGGCAGTTTGCTTCATCCATGTCAGGGAGGAGTTTAATTATGAACCGTGCACGATCACGGAGATCATAATTCAAGTCACATTTGGCTAGTTCCAGAATATAGTTTAAAATTCTTCTAAAACTCAACATATTTTCTCCCTTTGCACGCAATACAACCTGGAGGTGTAATGTTCACCAATAATTAAAACATTTCTCTTAAGTCCAGAAAAGACTGAATAAATTTGCTGTCAATAAATGAACTCATAAATAAAAACAGTCACATATATCCACATTTTACTGCATAGAACACAAAGCAAATAATAGTATTATCTTCTTTGTACACTGACCAGCCATGTCTGTTCTCAGATTGGGAGAAGAAACGCGTAGTGTCTAATTATTGTGATTTTAATAAATCACAAGTTTCATATATCCTCAATGTGGCTTACAATTATCCATGTTTTACCAATTCAGCATCAAGCACACACCTATACTTTTCCTAGATTTTGCTTCCATTTCCCTTGTCCCAAACTTAGTGGGACAGAGAGAGTACATAATTTGTCAAAACACCTGGTCACTGTAGAACAATCATGTCCATGTAGAGGACAATAATGATGATAATTCAGAAAGACAACAGATAAAATAATAAATGACTAATAATAATGATATACATATAATTATAATGATAAAAATAAAATTGTGAAAAAAAATACTTCTACCTCCATTCTTAATTAAATAGCCCCCTTAGGTATAAAGGTATTTCGATAGGAAAAACTTACTGAAAAGTGAAAGAGGGATAAATAATAAAAAACATCCCAAAAAGGAATAAGGGACAACTAATAAAGAACGAAGAGAGTAATTATTATTATAAATGTTATAAAAAATATAATAATACAACAACAACAATAATAATAACAATGCTAACAGTAATAAAATAATACCAATAATAATAATAGTCAAAGTTATAATAATAACATTAAAAAGTAATAGCAACAACAATAATAAAATAGTAGTACGAATTCAAGTAAAAGGTTCCATATTGCACTTAACTGTAGGCACTTAAATATAAATATGTATATGACATTATTCTTCATATGTAGCGGCATTGAGTATGCAGTTGAGTGAGCCACCACTGACATTGAGGTTAATTTGTAGTAATATGATGTTTCCTGACATGGGAAATCATAATTCAGAATTCAGAAGCCTCCAAATTTGCTTTATTGCTTTAGTTCCTACGAGTATAGTTTATGTTCATTTAAACTAGAATAAATAGTTAATATAAAACATCTCTTTTTCTTGGTTAGTTCTCTTAGTGCTTCTACCTTGCAGGGAAACAGTGGCTATTAACCACCCATAGACTGCCACCGTCTAGCATTTGTCATTTAATATGCACAATTGAGGGAAGAGACCAACATACACTGTAAAGTCTATTAAGCAAGTGAAAAACATAAGTCCCAAATACCACTATACCAGGAGTATTCTGCAATTCAAATTAGAAAAGCAATCACATTTATTAATATGAGAAACAAAAGCAATATATGCTGACTACCTTGACACAAGCATTAATAATCTGCAGCTTTGTTTCAGGAGCTTCTGAAGTAAAGCACCATGCAAGATACTTGAGAACTGTTGATAAAACCATAGGGATAATATGCCCAATGTTGTTATACTCTCCAAATATCCATATGATCGTTGCCCGTGCTTTTGGCACCCGGATGGAATCTAAAATTCTAACCAAATGAATAATTACCTGATCCAAATATTTGCAAGTTAGAAAACATGGTGGATATGAAAATATTATCCCATATACGAAGTATTTTCAAAAGTAGGATAGGTTTGAGCATGTCAATTTCTCTAGACAATTAACAGAAGTAATATTTTCAAATAATATCATTATTCATACTAAGAAAGTAATAAATTCTTTAATCGTTAAAGAGATCTTATTTCCCGCCATCAGCAGGCTCTTCCATTTCACTTTAAGAAATGACATTTCCATGGTCCCAAAGAACAAGATAAACAGCCTGGAAATGCCTCCTTTTCAGCTCTCAATATAAAACGCATCTTAAATCATTTGCCACAATAGTTCAAACGCATCTTAAAGTTCAGGTTTTTAAGTCCATAATGAAATTGAAAAGTCATCATCGAAACATAGATTTTAAATGAAAGTACCTTCTCATGGGAAGAAGGGTTGTGTTTTATGATAGTCTTGAGAGAATTTATTGCTTGGATCAAAATTAGTTCTTCTCCTTCCAAATGTTCCATGTTAAGGTTTGAGATTTCTGCAGTACCCATAATCGTATGAAAACGTTCAAGCCAAATATAGCAAAAGTCAAGCTAAAAACCAAAGTATATAGCATGTGTTTCTGGTAGAAGCTACGAAATGAAAAGGGTAACCACCTGATGAAATCAATGTCAATAGCCCCTCCACACATGTGTTGGCTATATTTGGTAGTCGTTGGGCACATAGACCAATTGCAGCAACAGAATCTGCAGCAAATCTTCTGTCCGGATCTCTAACATAATCCTAAAAATGCATAATCTATACACATTGAATTCACAAATTCAACTCCAAGAAGGCAATGCTACCACCATAATATTGGAATATTGTAGAACAAAAAATCTAAAGTTTCATCTTCACCATAGGATTACAAAATGCAAAACAATAACAAAAAAAGGCTTAGCTCCTCTCCAACTTCCAAGAAGGAGATGAGAAGAAAAAGAAGAAGCATATATTGAGAAAGAGAATACCTGGAACTCTTGAAATATTGAGGGGGTTGATGATTCTGTAGCAATCAGAGACAGTATTTCAAGTTTCAGAAACTTTATCTGATATGAATCTGTAGGGCTTATGAAGAAGTCTTCAAAATGTGACCGAAAGAGAGATGGCATTGTTTTAGCAAACACTTGAATGTTGCAAAGCACCTAAGTTATTAAGCACCATCGTAAAAGACCAAGACAAACATACTTCATCTGTAATTAGAATGAGTATAACAACAAATTCTTAAGTGCTCTGTAAGAATTGTTGTGAAGATGAAATTCTTATTTAAATTGAGTGCCCATACTATCGTATCTCGTATAGTTGAATCAGTGCTACCTTTAGTAAAACAAATTTCTAAGCCTAAAATACTCATGTCTATGTATGTGCCACATCTGATATTCTGAAGTCTGATATAATTAACGGAAGTGTTTTCCAATCAAAATGTAGGAACCACTCTTCTTCTCAATTATAAGGAAATGCGTTAGCCATTAGGTGACTAACTTTTTCAAATGCAACAATAAAATATTATTCAATCATCCAGCATTATGAAGTATAATTAACTCAAGTGACGGTGTCATCTAACAATCTTCTACAGTAGATTATAATCAACAGCAGCTTAAAGCCTTAAACCCAACTAGTTAGCGCTATCTTTGCAGTGTCAATTAACTGTCTAAATTTCGTTGATATTAAAAATTCAAGCACAGAGGTGACCCAACTAATTAATGCTACCATGAAATTTATAGTCAATCAATTGTCTAAAATCAGTTGATATTATAAATTCATGAACAGAGGTATAGCGGCAAACTTTTATGCCAGGCGCCTTTCATATTGTGGCCTTCTAATGAAGGAATGAAGAGATGAAAATCCAAAACCATCATCATAGAATATCGTAATTCAAATGAGTTAACAAAAATACAAAAGAGAGGTACCACATATCTAGATGCATTGGATGATCTCAGGAGAAATAACAAAGGTTTAACAATTCTTCCAAGTTCCCCTCTTGGTGCCATAATCCAGTGTACCCCAGCAGCAGCAAGTACTACTGCACTATTTCTACTCCACAGCAGAGGTGAAGTACATTGCAAGAGAATCTTCACATCATCATTATCTTTGGCAGAGGTGAAGCAGGAAGGGTCCAAGTCAGAGCAAACCTTCTCCAAACTTGATCTAGACAAGTATTTGTCTGGTCCATCAAGATAACTCCTTGCAACTATATTTGTCATCTCGGATTCACAAACCACGTTATTTCCCAAGCCATCAGTGCTCTCTCTCATTATAAACGAGGAACTTGATTTCTCTTTTTCAGAACTATAGTCCTTGGAAGAACAAGCACCCATCATTATGGATTCTTCAACAAGCCCATGGAAAGCTATAGCATATCGTAAAAGGATCCCTATCAGAACAATCTGGCCCCATTCTTCCACATCAGGTAGAGTCTCACACAACTTTCTGAAGTTTTTCCCAATCAAGAAGAGATTGTTTGGAGAAACAGAAGCAAATGCGGCAGCAGCTGCTCCAACTACTGTAGGAGCATTATCATTCAGCAGAACCCCCACAATCTACAACACATAGAAAGAGCACCGTACATATCAATTTTACACACAGGTAATAATTGGAGTACAGACGTAGCCACAACACATAGAGAATAATCTGCAGTCAAGTCATCTTTGCTTAACTTGAGTTTTGATCATAAGATCATCCAAGCAACTACAAAATCTTGTGAAATGTGCATTTCGGATGAGCTGTTACTTATTCACATTCACTTAAGGTCATGCGGGCAAGCACTAAACAATTTGCGATGCTTCGCATTTCAAGGTTGATCTCAAACAAATGTTTGAGGCGGAATTAAGATATAAAAATTCATTGGTGTTTGTAGATTCCTCTAATTTATAATGCTGAAATAAATACCGAAGAGGAACGTAAAGTATGAAACTTAATCGAAATGTAATAATTAACTTTTATATCACGAGGACAATTGTTTTAAGTTATTCCCTAATATCAGGAATGTTATTTTGTTAAAAAAAACTTCATCCCATGAGGACAAGATCCCAATCTCATATGGGATTTTGATAACTTCATGGAACCCGGTGGCGTCATTCGGAGGGTTCTCACTTCATCACTTGTGCTTCGGGTTGAGCTGTGTTTTATTTGTTTATCTGTTTATCTTCTCTTTTCTTCATCTTTTCTTTGTTTTCTTTCAATTTTCATCTTGCACGTTTTTTTATTTATGTTTAATAAAACTTCTTTACTCCTAAAAAAATAATCAGGAATGTTATTTTGTTAATAGCTGCTCGACTGAAGATACAAAGAGGTTTCCAGGGCTCAATGCATTCAAATAATTGTGTGAGCACTAAAAGCTATGGATCACATGAAGTCTGACAGTCGGTTAACATAAGATAGTCATTGGAAACGATACAACTCTTTCAGAAATATCCACTTCCACCAAAGTCCGCACAAGGCTACAACAAACATCTACACGCTATCCAGTCTTCACAGAGAAAATTCTATGTTTAATCATGTGATACAGTGCAACTGTGCAATGGGCTTATCCCTAGAGCTGGTTAATGAGAACTAGCAAAAAAATTATGCGTATCCCTGATTCCATGTGCAATGGAGCCAAAGATTTATTATTTTTTTGGCTTGAGAAAATGATGGAATAAAGCAAAATGGCTCACTAAACTGTCTGCGCTTCTTTGTTATGAAGCAACAGTCAGTCCATGCAATTTTGGACGCGATTTTCACTATGGGTCATCCGGAAACAATCTCTTTGTGCTTTAGTAGAGGGGTAGGACTGCGTACATCCGACCCCCCTTACCCCACCGTAGGTGGGAGCCTTTGCGGCACTGGGGTAAATGAAAATGATGAAAATGATCCCTGATTCCCTGTCTTTGCATCTTTTGAAGAATCCATGCACTCTAAAGGTAATGTACCACGAGAATTATAGTATTTAAACCCACCTCTTCAATTGTGCTTTTATTCTCTTCTAGTTGCAAATCATGCAACTTTGGGAGTGCATTTGCAGCGCATTTTCTAACATATATAGATGGATCTCTGGCACACTTCCTTGTCGCCACCAAAACAATTGGTGCAATCATATGTAGGCGGATTCCTGCCATGGTACGAAGTGCCCAAGCCCTGACTAACGGGTTTGGATCCCCCAAATCCTTCTGGAAACAGTTTATCGAGAGCAGTGCCTCATTAGGGCGCCTGAGACATTAAATGAAGTCATCACTCATCAGATATCAACAGATATACAGTGTGTATCAAACTACATCAGAGATACTCAACTAAAAGCAAAACACTTGTTTATATATGGTATGCATTATAGATTTTTAGATGAAACAGAGTACTTGCAGGCAACTCCACAGTCGTTAGAACTACTGAGAAGGCCTAGAATAGTGCGAGTCCGTACTTCTCGGCATAATGCAATAGATACAAGTACGCCAGCTTCTTGACTTCTAGTGATTGTGATGCCACCATTTTCACCACCTATAAATCCATCAATCAACAAAATAAATAGGTGAGAAGGAGAGAAAGAAGCAAAAAAGTGCAACCTTTTCATAAATTATGTAGTGAACTGCTCAATAGATTATCGAAACCACCTCACAACAGTTAACATACAAATTATTTTCCAGAGTATCAAGATAAAACGGCACAGATAAGCAGTCCGAATTGAGCAAGCACCTGAGGGAAGAAATTGGAGACATCAAAACCTTGAGCAATGAGTGCAAGCAATCGCTTGAGAGCTTCGCATTTCTCAGAGTCGAACTTGCTGTCGAGAAGCGGGGCGATATTGACGTCGTCAGGGTCATCGTAAAGGTGAGCATCCGTGCCGATCCGAAACGCCAATGTTGAGGCTTTACTCAGTGAATCCGCCGTTGCTCCGAACTGCGAGAACATGGTCGAAGTCCAGCAAATGCAGTTCAGGTGTCAATGAATCGATGATCAACTCCCCTGAACATGAACCGGGAGAGGAGTGACCGGGAACCGGGCTCTGCAGATCTTGGCTAGCAGGAAAAGGATCAAGAAGGGAATTTTTAACATTCTCTTTAAACAAGAAATGAGATTTTTTAAATTTAGGAAAAATTGATAGTAATAATCCCAACTATTGGCGGTCCGCTCATAATAATCCCAACTATTGATTATTATAGAATAATCCCAACTTTAGGGACCTTCCGCCAATAATGGTCCTTATGAATAAATTCTTGTAGTTTCTAAAGTGGATGGAGTGAGATATAACAAGTAATCACTTTAAATAATCTCAACTTTTAATTTTTACGCTTAATTTCTATTTAAAATTCACTTTTTATAGAGGTAATATATGGTCATGGACCATTATTGGCGGATAGTCTATATAGTTGGGATTATACAAAAATAATCAATAGTTGGGATTATTTTCAGCGGACCATCAATAGTTGGGATTATTATTTTCAATTTTTCCTTAAATTTATGACAAAATGAAAATTATATTAGTGACTACAATAGTAATGAAAGCATAGTAATATATGTTTAATTTTTAAAATTAAGTTATTATGAAACTACATTGTAGTAACTAATAATCATATTTGTGTAAATAAGTTTAGTTTTAGTAATATTTTTATAGAAAAAACCATTTTTTAGTTTCCCTTTCCTTTTTGAACAATTTTTTAATGTCCCTTTTGAAAATAGATTTTAACCAAATGAAAGTAAATTAAAATACTAATTTCTCTAATCCTAGTTTAAATCTTTTATTTGCCTTTTTAGACATTTTAGTCAAAGACTCTCATTTATATTTTAAAAATATATATATTTTAGGTGACAAATTAATCATAAAATATTACATATAATACATCTATGATATTATAATTATCTTGGGAGAAAGACCAAAAATAACATCAAGGTTTTTTACGAATCTCGAATTCGACACTAAAGTTTTTAGTAGACCAAATAAACACAAAATTATAGTTTTTGGTTTCATTTTGACCACCCTTTAACAGCTTCCCCGTCAAACAACCCTTCCCCGTTAACTCCCCACCCAATTAAAGCTGGCTTGGATCCCGGAGAGTAGGTTTCCGGCGTAGAACACAAGCGGACGAGCTAGGGGAAGTTGGCTGAGGAGACCTACCATGACTGACCACCTTGTGAGCTCATCAATTTCTCTCATCTTCTTCCCAAGATTTCCATTTTTTACTGCTTTTGGTGTGTCTTGCTTCTACTGTGTTGCTTGGATGACCGGTTAAGATTGACTGGGTTTGTTGGTCTGCAACTTTGCTGCAACCTGTGTTTGTCTTTCGTTTCATGGTTCATCAAATCAGGGCTTGAAGAAGAAGTTTATTAAATAGGGTGAAAGCTTTGAGACTCCCAATTCGGGGGACGAGGTTGAAGTGCAATATATGGAGTTATGTTCGATTTCAATAAAGAAAGAGTTGCTCCGTTCGTTGTGGAGCATCTCGCCGGCAGCTACGGGTGGGCGACGGTGCGGTTGTACGCAGTGACAATAGGTGAGGGATGGTGTTGGGCTGGGGACGAGGACTACGAGGCTGAGAGGGGGTTGCGAGGGGACTGTGGCTGGGCTGGTTTGGGAGGCTAGGGATGGCTGGTTGGAGCTCGGGCTAGGGAGGTGCGGATCGGGATTTGGCTGCTCCGACTTGGAGCTGCGGGAGGTGGGAAGGGCAGGACAGGGGATGGAGCTGGGGCTGGGGAGGGGCAGGGTGTTGGACTGGAGTGGGGCAGGGGCTTTTGGAACGATAGGGAAGTTAACGGGAAAGGGGCGTTTAACGGAGGAGTTAAAGGGTGGTCAAAATGGAACCAAAAACTATAATTTTGTGTTTATTTGGTCTACTTAAAACTTTGATGTCTAATCCGAGCTTCATAAAAAACCTTGGTGTCATTTTTGGTCTTTCTCCCTAAATATCTTCAATAACCTCATTATTTTAGATATTCATTAAAAATTATTTCTCAAATATATTCAAATTACATTATTAAGTTATTGTCTAAATAATTGTGTCATTTCCAATGAAAACTTTAAACCAGGACGGAGGTAGTACATTTATATTTTATCATTTGTTCTTTTTTCAAATTATTTTATTATTTAGGAAAAATGGTGCGTTCTAATAGCCATGTTTTTACTTTATCTTAAAACCATATTGTATCCTATTCTATCTTCTACTACGTAATAGTTGATCTAATTTAGGAATCCTGTTGTATTTTGGTAACTTCCGTTCTATTATAAATATATCCGTCACGATCCTTATTGGGTAATCCTTTCCATTATTTCACATGGTATCACGAGCCTAACCTAAAATTTTCCTTTTCTATTTTTTTAGCCGCACGACATGTCTTCTTCTGCGGCGATCTCTTCTTCCGCGTCCTCCTCCTCAACGGTGGTGATCACGCTGTCCTCAACGGCTATGATCACGTCGTCCTCTGCCGCATCATCCTTCTCCATGGCGCCAGAGACTACCCTCCCCACGAGCGTTATGATGCAGCCCGGATTATCCTCCTCACTTTCTGTTGTTCCGCTCTCCGGCTACATGGCGTCGCCACAGGTTCAACGGTCGAGCTCTTCCGCTTTGTTCTCAAGCTTTCCGCCGCCTCCTCAGTTTTCAGTGGCTGAACCGTATTCCCTCTTTCAATCACTGCCTCCGAGATTCTCATGGCAGTCGACACCGGTGCAGTCCCCCGCAACGCCTCCTCCCCCACCGGTTGCTTCACCCTTTTTTGGCTCAACCTTTTCAGGCTCTCTGGGAGTGGTTCGACCTCCAGACCAGTCCGCTTTTGGTTCTCCGATGGCTTCTCTCACTCAATTTGTGTCACATATTACCACCGTTTCACAAATTGTCACCATTAAACTAAAAGCGGTAGAAGACTACTTCACTTGGCGCACTCAGTTCAAATCATTCTTGGTTTCTCAAAGGCCTTTTGGAATTCTTGATGGTTCCATTCAGGTACCTCCTATGTACACCACTAATTATGCTAATCGTCAAGTTCCAAATACGGAGTATTATCATTGGCTACGGGTAGATCAAACAATTAGGTGTTGGCATGGATATTTGCTACTATTACCCGTGATGTTTTGGTTGATATTGGCTGACGTAGATTTTTTTGAGACTTTTAGTCCAATCGTTAAGCCCACCACAGTTCGTATTGTTCTTACTCTTGCTATTTCCTTTGGGTAGGTTATGCGTCAGTTAGATGTAAAAAATGTGTTCCTTCATGGTTACCTCACTGAGGAAGTTTATGTGTGTCAGCCGCAGAGTTTTGTTTACTCTCAGTTCCCTAATCATGTATGTCGTCTGCGTAAGGACATATATGGTCTTAAGCAGGCCCTGTGGGCTTGGTTCCATCATTTTAGCAGTTTTCTCCTTGCTAATAATTTTTTATGTAGCAAGCCTGATAATTCTTTATTTATTTATCGTCAGGGTCAGTCACTGATTTATTTATTACTATATGTTGATGACATTATTATTACTGGTAATTCTCCCTCTATAGTGTCTTCTTATATTAGCCATATTGTGGCTCAATTTGCTATGAAAGATCTAGGGTATCTCCATTATTTTTAGGGGGTTCAGGAAGTTCGAAAATCTACATGCATTTTTTTTCTCAACAAAAATATGTGTCTGATCTTTTTCTTCGTTTTCACTTACATACTCTCAAGTTTGTTCGTACACCTGTTGCTACATGCACGTCTCTCTCTCTCTCACTGATGGCGATTGGCGAACTCTAGGCGGATGCCACTGAGTATCGCAGTATAGTAGGTGCATTATAGTATTTAACTTTGACACAACCTGATATTACTTATGCAGTTCATTTATTGTCCCAATTTATTCATGCTCCTCGTACTACTCACATGTTTGCTGTCAAGTGATCTTTCGTTATTTACAGGGCATTATTGATCATGGCTTATAGCTACAGTGTGACACTGCACCCAAACGTCCTTGGAATTCAATTTAAAATTCAAAGTTTATGTATTGAACTTCCTATTGTCAAACGAGTGTAAACCGATTGATGATTTATGTAATGCATCTTTGATCATTTTATCGTTTGAGCTCGTATATTAGCGATGGGCTTTCAATATTTAATTGGGACATCTTATTAGATATAAGAGCCCAATATTTTGTAAATAATGTTACATAACCTTTCAAGACAAGTTATGAAAGGTTGGACATCCCAAACATTATTTTGGGCCCAACCTGCTAAAAAAAGTAAGTATTCAAGAGTGGACTCCTAATCCCACTTGAGGGTAACCCACACGGCTAGTAGTCCAATAATATGAAGGATAATGTCAAAATAAGTGATAGGATGATTAGGGAAGAATACAAACACCTATGGTCTCATCTTTGGCATAATTGGGCTAAATGGTAGGAGTAGGGTTTTCTTCTATTATTTTCATCACGTAAATTATTGGTATGATCCTACACATATTGGAGATCAATAATATGATGTAGAAAGTTGACTTGTTCTAAATAAATTAGAATGAGTACAAAAAGACATCTTTTGACAAAAGATAAAACAATTGGACCCATCTTCCCATTTTTGGAAGTATTGGTAGATATTTTGAACCCCAAATTAATTGGGATCACTAGGAGACTACCCCACACCTTCATGGCACTTGCAAAATGAAGAGAATGAGTTAAAACTCATGTTTGGGGCGGACAAAAAGAGAGGGGGCTGAACAAGACTTTATTTGGGAACCAAATGGACCCTCTCCCCATTTTGATTGAAAGTATCTTGCTCCATCATCCCACATGCCAACTCATTCTTACCCATTGACCTTTGAGGCTAAGTGAGGGACAAGATAACACTCCCACAACCCCCCATTCTCACTCTCAAAGATAAGAGAGAAGGAGAGAGCCACATAACCAAGAAAGCAAAGGAGAGAGCAAGTTGTCCGCAGGGTAAATTTCCAGTGCGTAAGGTTACTTGTTTGCTTCATATCTAAAGAAATACTCAACCAAATAAGGCGTGTGAGATACCACAAGAAAGCTCTCAGGACGAGGAATCCGTGAAGGTCTGGTTTGCAGCAAAC